GATAGTCCTTAACTCCAGTTCCAGGGGAATCCAAAGCCCTCTTCTGACCTCTGCAGCATTGCACGACACGGGTACACCCACATACATGCAGGCAATACACTCATACACATAAAAAAAAAAAAAAGAATATTTTTTTTAAAAAAAGCATCAAACGAGATAAAGGACAGAAAGACAGGTTTTTAAAAAATATATATTCCACCGGTGGGTGGGGTCCCATACCTTTGATTCCAGCACTTGGGAGGCAGAGGCAGGCAGATCTGAGTTCAAGGCCAGCCTGGTCTACATAATGAGTTCCAAGCCAGCTGGGGCTACAGGGAGACCCTGTCTCAAAGTATATTGCACATGAAAATATTTTGTTTAATGAAGAATTAAAATTAAGACTCTTAAACATAGATGTTAGGGGACCTAGAAGATGATGTGCAAAGGAGTGGTCCGTGTGTTTATGTCAGAGCAAGGTCCACATTTTTCAGCTGATTCTCAAAGGGGTCTAAGACAAAGGTTAAGACTTGCTGTGGGTCCTGTGGGTACCATTTGGGGGCGGGGCATTTTTGGTCTTTTTGAGACAGGGTTTCCCTATGGCATCAGCTGGCAGCTGGCCTGGAACTCTCTATGTAGACAAGGCTGGCTTCAAACTCACAGAGATTCACCTGCCTCAGCCTCCCAAGTGCTGAGTTAAAGGCGTGCACCACCACACCCAGCATGGGTACCAATTTTCAGCTCAGGAAATAAACTTATTTCTTAGGCATTTAAGTCTAAAGTCAAACCAAACAAATTTTTTTTTAAATCAAAATAATTTTTTTCTAGAAATGCAAGATCATCTTCTGCTAATTCTAGATTCTTTATCTTATTAAAACCATCAACAAAGAAAACATCAGGGACAACTTCTAGAATTTTCCTAGAGTGGGAAGTAATTGTTTTCTTCTTGGCCAACAAGTCCATTTTTGCTTCTGTTCCAGAGTTGAGGATTTTGGATGGTAAAGTCTGAGGCTGTAGGAGGTAGCTCCAGGTAGGGTTGTGCCTGGAGGGAAGGGGCAACTGTGGAGTCCAAAGACTGGATTTTGAAACTTTGTTGCCTAACCTCCTTAAGTCCTCTTGCCTTTCTGAAAAGCTATGGGGTCATGTGGAGAGGTGATCTGTGAGGTTCCTCCCAGGAAGCTGGTGTCTTGAAACTACCGAAATGAATCATCCCAATCCCCGCCCCCCCCCAGTAGAGTTCTCTGCCTAATCCTACTCCCACTGGACACCATGGTGCACACAATTCCTGGCAATGGTGAGGTATTGAAAACTGGCCAGTCAAACCTACCATCCTGATCAGCAGCACCACACCTAGGCTCAGGTCCCCTCTAGCTCTCCTGATACTGTGGCTCCTTGTAACATGCTCAATTAAAAACAAGTTACATTCTCTGGCCTCCCATTTGGATGAAGGAAGGTCCCCTCCATTGTGCACAAGGTTCCAAGCCAATGCTTCCATCAGACGCTCCCTCAGACACTCAGTACCTAGCCATAAGACAGATGGAACATCAATTACTGTGGCCCTCTCCTGCCCATCCTTTGAAAGCCTCAGGACCGCAGAAGGGCTGAATTCCAGACCATGGAGCCAAACTTCACCACCCCAACTAAAGCAACCATTAGTGAGTCTCTGTTACATGTGAGAGCCTATGTTGTGGGCTTTTCATCATTTCCTCCTAAAATCTCAACTCTTCCCATCAGCCTCCTTTGAGAAGCACCAAGATCCATGAAGTTAAATAACCAAGAGGCAATAGGTTCCAACTCTAAGCTGTCAGATACACTGGTACCTTGACTCTACATGATCCTAGGCTGCCTAGTCCTTGGTCTGGAAACAAAGAAATAGTAACCAAAGAGCCAAGTTCAGGCCAAAAACCTGACTAGCCAACAGTGAAATCCAAAGAACAACATATTATGAACTTTTACTAAGTCAGTAACAGTAACTCCCACCCCAACAGTGTGAGGCTGTATTTTTACTTGTTCTCGGTACAAACTTAATGTCCAACATCTGTGGACATACAAAACACATCCTTCTAAAACCATGGATTAAACAAATAATTGTGTGCCAGATACTGTCCTACACATGTCATTTTCAGAGCCTACATGTGAACTCCACAGCCTGCCCATTTCAATAACAAATCCAACCACTGAATATGCACAAAAAAACAGGAAGAATGGCCAAAACTATTTTTTGATCATTTTCAAATCAAATGAAATTGTCCACATTATTTTGGATGCAATGTATTTTCTCCAGGCTGAGAGGTCATGCTCTTGGGCCAAATGTTTGCCAGGAACTTTTTCGGGGGGAGTGGGGAGGTACTGAGATGTTAACAGGACTATTAGAGATTGAACTACATCACCAGGGCAGACAAGGAGAGGAGTATCTATGATTCAAGCTCGCTTGAGAGGTCTCCTGGGTCACAAACTTTGGAAAGAAAAAAAATTCTTTTCAAGGAAGCTTCCCCACCCACTGTCTCTTAAAATACACTGTTTGGAACACAGTGGGCTCAAACTTAGACTAGGAAAATGTGGGTGGATGGATAGTGTTGTGCATAATTCTGGGGTTTGTTTCAAGTCATTAAAGATCTTCACTCAACATATAAAGTCAATACAAAAATAATACTTCCGTTCATTTTCTGGGCTCCACAAAAGGTTTAAAAGCATGACATCCCACTTGGCTCATCTAGCCACCCTGCTTGAGGCTGGTGTCACTCTCCCTGAACAGAGAAGGGCCCATAAGAGGAAGTGACTTGCCCAAGGTCACCCTGTGGATAAGCAGCAAGCCAGGATGCAAATGACCTTCTTAGGATTCCTTGTCTGTTGCATTTCGCATTACATTAAGCAGTGACTGTATGAGACTGCCACGCTTAGATGATCTCACTTCCGTATATTAACAATTTCAGAGGGCGACAAGCCAAGAAATAGAATTTTCATATCCCAACTTCACATGGGAGCATTCAGTGGGACTGGATCTGGAGGGAAGAAGTCTCTTGCTTTGGGTGGCTGTAATTTAAAGGCTCACACCCTCATCAGCCAGCAGGGTGTGGGGGCAAGGGGAGGGCTGGCTGTCTCCAGTGTTAGAACCATGGAGACAGAGAGCCACATGCAGGTGAATGAATATAGAATACAGAGAAAGGCCTTGTGTAGCCATCGCTCCAGCCAAAGGTGGTATGTCAGTGCAGCTTTCAATATCAAGGTCCACACAGCATCTCTCTGAATCAGTCCTGTGATGACAGATGACTTCAGGACAGCCATTTTAATAGGTCACCTACCTGTCCATTACCTGCCAAACTGACAGTCCGGGAGTAACCCTCAGAGTAGTTAGAGGGATCACAAGGTGAGGGGTTATCCTGTCATTTCTGTCATTACAATCTCAACTCAAGAAACAGGTTAAAATTCAGGCAGTGCATCTATATGCAAGCTTCTTGATTACCTCCTCAGATGAAGGCTCAGGTATCTCACTAACACAAGGTCTGAGTACAACACCAAACTGCCCTGAGTCTGCAACCCATAGGGCACCACTAATGATGAAAACGACAACAGCAAACCAATTCTCCCCAACTGGCTACTTCCTAAGTAGAGGTGTTAAGATTCATGCACGGTTTCATTCCATTTTCTCAAAAAGTCATTTTATTATCCCTACTTAGTGTATCCATGTTTACAGTGCTGAGGATCAAACCCAGGGCCTGTTGAATGTCAGGAAAGTGCTCTGTCACTGATCTACAGCCCTAGACCCATCATCCCCTTTAGTAGATGAAGAAATTTGCCCAAAGTCGCCAGATAGGAAGAGTGAAACCAGGGGCTGTGGCTTTGATGGCATCAGCAAAACCATATTCAGGAAGAAATAGTCACACGCCAATTTCCCTTTACCAGCTCCCCCAGACCTCCTACCACCTGTCCCTTCTATTCAGAACCCCACAGAAGTGATGTTGCCAGAGCCAATGTTACTGACCATGGTGAAATATCAGAGGATGGAGCATGCCCCCTCCTGGGCAAGTAAGAGTGCTGCCTGCAGTGCTCTGCAGGTCACCCTGATACCCAATATGCCTTTCAAAGCAAATGGGCCGGCCCAGTTTGGATTTTCAGCCTGAGGCACAATCAACCAATCCTTCTCAATCTGGTCAGAGTCCTAAACTCCCTGAGTTCTGCCTAAGTAACAGTAACATCAGAAAACAACCAAAGCCTACAGGGCTGTCTGATACTCCATTGCCCTCCTATTCAGTTCTATGCCAGCCAAGCCAGCAGGCCTTCCTCTTATTGGTAAGACTCTTTCCAGGTCTTTTACAGAAGTGTTCGTTCCCGCTCTCTGCACTAGACCCTCTAGGCGGCCAGCTGAGCATCCTTACCCCCACTTTTCAGAGGGGCTACTAGAAGTCAGGGTTTGCAGGAGGTCAACTGCACTGGCTGCAGAGGAGGAACGGGAACCCACCCATGTTATTCCTTCTGCTGCAACTCCCTGCAGAGACAGGGCTGGCCACATAGCAAGGAACAGAAAATTGAAATGACTCCTATTAAGACAGCAAGCCTGCCAACCCCAGAGGGAAGCTGACAAGTGACCAGAGCCTGCCCTGTATCAAAAAAATGCCTCTTCAAAGGAGCTGCCTACAAACCTCTTGCCACCTGCTGCAATGGGGAAGTAAGCAAGTGCCAGCAACCCACCATGTCCACAGAAAGAACCAAGTGAGAAAGTCAGGTCAGAAAGGTGCTGCTGAGGGACTGGTTTCGACAGGCAATATCCTAGTATGAACTTAATCAGCCTTCTTTCCATTCCTAGCACACCCCCCCCCCAGCCCCCTACATACACTTCCCTTAATCCTCACCTCCTTAACCACAAAACTGTGAGGGGCGTTGCTGAAGCTATGTCAGCTGCAGCAGCCTCCAGATAAGCAGGGCAAACCCCATTTAAAAACGAGAAATTGATAACAGCAAATTCATGCACTCTTAAGAACCATGTACCACTTTCAAAATATTGAAACAGATTTCAGTGGGTTTACCTGGGTTGTTTTTGCTCTTCTGCCTTGCATGCTGTTGCTATGGCTAATTTGTGGGTTGGTGGCACCTTCGGAAAGACAGTGCGATTTCCTACAGGGAAGTGTGTTATAATTACTGTATAGAGGAGTCTCTTCAGCAGCAGCTGGTGGCATCTTATGGTTTGCAATATCGGGAATATCCGATACCAAATTCCGGCAGTAGCCTGCAAATTTGTTCCTTGGTCCCCCGTTTGCCGTTACCCCAGAGTTTTTCTGAGCATACAAGTCACCCAGGGAGTTGGCACGCTGACAGGTGCTGAGCTGCCGCGGACTCGCCTGTGTTTCCATCCCCCGAGCCTCCTCGCAGTCCTTCTCTTCCGTGGAACCCAAGATTTCTTCGTTGCTTGTTAAATGTTCTTGGCTCAGATCAGAGAGTGAGAATTCCAGGCTGTCCTCCCGCCAGATGTCTGCAGATTTGGAACGTTTCTTCTTAAAGCTCGCCGTCTCCATGAACGTGGGCCCATTGGATGTATAGGGATGCTGCCTCCTGCCTCCTTCAGCCAAGTATGTAGCGTCATCCCCGTAAAGCCTGCTCTCCTCCGAGTCTGGCATGCTCTGCACAGAGGCTGCTGTGAGGACAATGCTGCTGTCTACGCTGGGAGTGACAGAAGAATCGGTGTAAGACACAGGTCTCAAGCCCATATCTACTCGGTCCACCCAGATGGGATCCCCAAAGTCATCTAGGGCGCCTTCCTGGGAGAAGGGCTCCAAGCCATTTTCAGCCAAGGACTGGGGGATGCTGGGCGTGCTGCTGGACCGGGTGCTCACTTCGGAGTTCCTGTGGATCACCTTCCCAGAGGAAGCATGCCGTGTCCTCCGCGTCTTGTGTGACAGGCGCAGAGAACGTGATGTGTGTTTGCGCCCCAAGCTGGCATGCTTTTCTCCATAAAACTCGTGGTCTACATTTTGGCTTTCTGCGTTTCCCATGGTTTTATGGTCTGTAGCAAAGGGACAAGAAAAAAAAAGGAGGGGACAATTGACTCACCAATAGAATGGGCACAAGAATTTTTAGAGTCAGGATTCACTGTGCAATTTGAGCAGATACCTTTGCTGGGGTGGGAGCGGGGTAGTAAAGACACAGCTTCCCAGTGCTCTGGGCAGCAACAGGTGAGCATGCCATCATCTGTTGGGACTATTCTCAGAAAGGAGAGCCACTCACAGAAACACAACTGTACTAGTTTGGTTTCTACTGCAGTGATAAACACCACAACCAACTTGGGGGGGGGTATTTCCACTTACAGCTGCCAGTCACCATGTGGGTGCTGGGAATTGAACCAAGGGTCCTCTGAGAGAACAACCAGTGCTCTTAACCACTGAGCCATCTCCCCAGCCCCCAGCCTGTTTTCTTATACAACCCAAGACCACCTGCCCAGGGTGCATCCTCCATACTCAACTATCAAAAAATGTCTTGTAGACATGCCCACAGGTCAGTCCTATTTGGCAATTGAGGTTTGCTTTTCCTAGGTGTGACAAGTTGACAAATGAAGCCTGCCAGCACAACATCATCTGAGAATTAGCTGTCTTTGCCCACAGGGCAGAGGCGAGGGACACCTAAAGAGCTGCTCTTGCACAGCTGGCCTCTCTGCTCACCCTGCTTTTTCTTCCTACGCTCCACAAGAATATACTGATATCAACACACACACACACACACACACACACACACACACACACACACACACACTTTCAGCTGTACACTGAAAGTACAAATCAAGGTAAGGTGTTCACCAAAAAAGTTAGCGTCCTCCCTCTCTGCCGAGGGCTCTGTTTGTTTTCTTGTTTTTATTTATGTGGTTTTTGTCTGTTTCTTGTTTTGGGGAGGTCTTTGCTTTATTTGGATTCTGTCCATACCTCAAAAATCAATCAAAACTGGACAACCTCAAGATGCAAAGCTAATCAACTTTTCCTAACAAATCAAAATCATAAAGCAAGCAGGCGGCTACCTCATTTCACAGAACCTCAACGGGGGGGGGGGGGGCTGAAAGGGGGCTGAGAGGAGGGGGATGGGCAGAACAAAATGAAAGCCCCACTCAACAGCAGACTAATGGGTTTATTTCTGGGAGCAAATCCAACCTACAAACATGAACCTGGTACGGAGTGCCCTGCGGACAGAAACTCACACTGTGAAACCACCAAATGTGGTAGAGCCTTGTGAGACAGGCGAGGTTGATTCAATTCCCCTCTTCAACATTTTCCCAGTCCCCATCCCTAACCTGGCAACAGAAGTCTGTTATCCACAGCAGCAAAGAAAAACCTTCAAAGCTCCACAACACTGCCTCTGCTGGGTCCAGTCTTGCTCTAAGACATCTCCCCATTTCTCTTCCAAGTACACACACTCAAAATAACACACAGGAAAACAGCTGGAAGGAAAGAGGGAAAATGCGGTATCTAGGGAAATCCCTGGGCTTGCTCCTACAGAGCCACTCGTTCAAGAAACATTTACTGAGTACCTACCATGTTCTAGAAGCCAGAGATACAACAGTGAATAAAACAGACACATCTCTCTCATGAAATGGATATTCTAGCCAGGAAAGATACAAAATAGCAAAAAAAAAAAAAAAAAGAAAAAGAAAAAAAAGGCAAAAGACACTTTGGGAAACAGGAAAGGTTATTGTGATCATAGCAAAGAGATGGAAATGCACTATAATGTAATGTGCCTTCCTATTGGTCCAGAAATCGCTACCTTACATAACTGCTGTTCACTGTAAAGCACAGCTTCAGCTCTCACAAGCACATCTTTACAAACTTTCAAGACTTTCCCTCAACATTTGGGAAAAGCTTCCAAATTAAGGAATGTTTCAGCAACCCCTGGAAATATATTTTTCTCAACTTTTGTTGCTATAAACTTAGTGCTGATTCTGCCGAGGTCATCCTCTGAGAATCTGGCCTAGTAGAATTTAGGAAATTTGGCATTCGTTGTAAGGTCTTGATCCACCTAGACTGCCTGAGAAGACTCTTACCACTAAAATGCTATTAATACAACAGACCTGTCAGTGTGATGCATGGGCTGTTGTAATTCCTGCATGTTGGGCCATTTCCTTTAGGAAACCTCTCCTGAAGCTTTTAACTTGATGAGTTTTCTGTTGGATGAAATAAACCTTGCTGGAAAGTTCTTTATGTCTGTCAATTTCTAT